GGCAGGAGGGGTAACGCCCTTAGCCTAGGTGCAAGCAGGTCTAGTAGGCCTCTCTGCCTAATTACTATCTTATAGCTCGTACGAGCAAGATAGATTTCCTTTATCTATTTTCTTTTTTCTTTTCTCTATTTTACTAGGCCTGTATAATAGAATTTATGTACGATAGAAATTAATTAATTACCCCTTACTTAATAACTACCTACCCCTTACTTAATAAAACTGCCTTATAACTATAATATTTTTTTATATAGGTTAATTCTATAGACAGTTTTATGCTTTATATCTATTATTTATCTATCTTATTGCGTTATACGCGCGTGCGTTGTGGATTAATTTTTATAATCCTTGTAAAAAAATTAATTTTCGAATTGTTGCACGAAACCGGTTAACAGTCCACCGTAGCCGCGCCACTCTCTGCCCCTCACCACCGAACTTCGCAAACTGCGGGGCACATGTCCATCAACAACAACGCATCTATCCGCGAAACTAACTTCTTCGTATACACCAGCCACTACATATCCATACCGCCAATATGTTCAAGAAAGAGTAATTCGGCCAGATGATAAAGAATATCTAGAGAGCAAGCTAACACGCGTTAATTAGTATGACCCCGGGCTCAAAGTCCAAAGTCAAGTCCAGCGCCCAGCGTGGCATCCGCGCCAAAGTACTCGAATCATACCCGCTACTGGAGCCATACATTGAAGAGATTCTGCCCAAGAAGGAGCAGTTGGATCTGGTGAAACTGTATGCCAATCCTCTTCTTCCACACGCATTCTCCTCTCCTTCTTCTGCTTCTGCTTCTGCTTCAAGCGACCTCCAGCTTGTACTATCTCTATCCCATGGGAGGAGCAACAGCTGAAAACATGCAAAACAATAGCCCCGACCGCGTATCCCTCTATACCCTCGGCTCCACTCCGCTCTTTTTCCAACACATGGACGACCCCATCATGCCGCATCTGACCCTAGTACACAAATACCCCGACGCCTTCAACCGACTACGCATCGACCGCGGCGCAATCCGCTTCGTGCTCTCGGGTGCCACGCTCATGGCTCCTGGTCTCACATCTCCCGGGGGTAGACTGCCCGACGACGACGCAGACGAGGATGGACGATACGGAGAGGACGAGCTGGATGCCGGGACTGTGGTTGTCATTGAGGCAGAGGGGAAGGACACGGCGTGCATGGTGGGCGTGCTGCGGATGGGAACTGGAGAGATGAAGAAGGTGAAGAAGGGACAGGCGTGTGAGGCGGGTCATTATCTGGGAGATGGGCTTTGGGGTCTGAACTTGGGATGAACAGGGGCGGGGTGAAGGGTTGGATTTGGATCAAGTGGTGTGCATCAGGCGCAGGGAAAGCCCAATGAACGGAGAAGAGAGCACAAGACGATATCGTCCGGCATAAACGTGCATCTTGCGGTTATAACATACCATATGCCGCAATACAGAAAGGGGGCATAGTGCATCCATGCATAGCACCCAAGCACGTTAATATTCGAACTTGGTATCATTACTGTCTATTTGTGAAGACCCCAATACAGCAAAATGGATTTAGGAACCGGGCACCTTGCATGCTCATATTTTTCGCATTCCGGTATTTTCTGATTGCTTCAAGCAGCTCCACCTCCTCGGCCAGCACCGCCGGGAGGTCCACCAGGAGCTCCGCCCATGCCACCCATGAAGTTCTTGGCCCTGATAATTGAATTAGTGGTCAATCTAAGATGGGACAAATAGAAAGGGCTTGCACTTACATTTCAGCAATACTTGGGTCTTGCATCAGGCTGGCCAAGTCGGGCATGCCTCCTCCGTTGCCTCGTCCTGCACCAGCACCAGCACCGGCACCGGCACCGGCACCGGCACCTCCGCCAGCACCACCTACGCCAAACCGCTCCGCCATCTGTGCCACCTGCGGGTTGCTCATGAGATTGTTCATCATATCAGGGTTGCTCATCAGGTTCTGTGCCATTTGTCTCATCATCGGGTTGTTCATGAGCCCAGCGAGATCTGGCATGCCGCCACCACCTTCGGCACCACCACCACCACCACCGAACATGCCTGCCAGTGCGGACAAATCAGGCATACCACCACCACCTGGTGCACCGCGAGCCACGTCTGGGGCGCCGATGTCACCGCTCTCATCTTCGTGCCTCTTTTTCGCTGTCTCATAGCCCTTGCGCATAACATCTGATCCGCCACCTTCAGCATCCATGCCGGCCTTGTACGCCTCCATCGCGCCCTTTGAGTCACCGAGGACGTACTTGGCCAGTCCGAGTCTTGACCAAGCCTTGGAGTACTTGGGATCCGCAGCGACGGCCATCTCCGCATCGTTCTTCGCCTCCTCATGCTTTCCCTGTCCGGAATACGCAGCGGCGCGGTTGGAGAGGTAGATAGGATTCAGCGGGATATGGTTGAGCGCCTGTGTGTAGAAGTCGACCGCAGTGTTGTAATCTTTCTTCTTCATCGCCTCGTTACCCTTGCCCTTGAGTCCCTCTGCTATGACTTTGCTATCTTCGGTCGCGGACGTTGCTGGTGTAGCAGGTCGTGCCTCGGAGGCCGAGCTGCTGCCTTGTGTCGAAGCGGTGCTCTTGCCTTTCAGCTTCTCATACACGCTGTAGATTGAGAGGAGATTCTTGCCACCGAGTGCATCCTGCATTAAGGTTGAGTCCGAGGGGTCGACTTTAAAGGCTTCCGCAATGCAGTTTGCGGCGATCTCGAGCTGCTCGGCGTCTTCGGAGGGCACAGAGCCATCAGTCTGAGAAGTTTGGAGGAAGTCAAGGATCGCGAGCGCAAGGCGCTTCTTGGTCTGGTCGGTTGCCTGAGGAGGGTTGTTAGAAAAGGAAGGAAGCTTGGGTGGCGGGGTCGGGGATACCATGCTGGCAACTCTGTGTGTAGGTAGAAGGGCAGTCGAGTTAGGCAAGTATTATGCTGATCACTAGAGAAGTTTGCTGTAGGTGTAAATCAGGAAATGAGATCATGGAAAGGTAATGAAGAAGTTGTCATAGACTTTCAATGTGGACTGGGTTGAACTCGAAGGTTCCGTGGCTAGGCCAATTGGAGGCGGGGCGGGGCAGCACCCAAGCTTCTCCACGTGCCTGGACTTTGATTTTCATATAATTATCTAGGCTCTGCGGATGAGCAATATAAATTTGAAGTAACTTTGGTATCATATTTTTAGATGTTGGAGGTTCGTATGCTACAATTCTATTTGTACAGTACATTGGTTCGGCGAACCTATTCAACACAAGATCGACGACGTAACGATCTACAACTCAGTCTTCGCTGAGACCCTCCCACGGGCTTTTCTTCTTCTCCGTTTTGGGCCAGACAGACTTCCACCATGCTTCCTCCTTCTCGCTGGCTATCGTATTCGCTCGTTCTTCCGCTCCACTGTCCAATTCGAATTTCTGCATGCGCTCCGCAATGCGCGAGTCGAGGACCATATCGTCTAGCCATACTCTCTCCCTTTCATCGTCTGCCTTACGTTCTCGTACGCTTTTGTGCCATTCCGGCTCTGCGCTTTGGAGCAACCGCTGTTGTTCCCACTTGCTGCTACCATCTGCATCTTGGTCGCCTACATTAGAAGTACTTTGTCCAGACTCGAAGCGTGACTCTCCAGGGCTATCATAGGGTCGATATACGCCAAGCACGGCGGCCGCGGTTTGTCGGCCAATCTCATCTGCATTCTGTCGTCTGTTCAAGAAGCGGTACATTCGTATGGGGAAGTTGAGGAACCCTAGGAGATGCGGTAGAGGTATAACGGCGGAGGGTCCGATTATGGAGGGGCAGTGCGGAGAAAGTATAGAATCATTGTAGTCGGCGGTAGTGTTGAACGGAGGGGGTTGTATCTTCTTCTTCGGTTTCGGCTCTTCCTCTTTTGGATTTTCGGGTTCCTCTACGGCGGTCGGCGATGCGTCGTTGGCTGAAGCTTGACCAAGGTTCTCCACGGGTGCCTTTGTTGTATCCGCAACCGGTGCCGTCGTCGGTACTGGAGAATCCAACGGTCCTAGCCATCCTTCGTGTAATCCCCTGACGTATTCTTTCCAGGTGTGTCTTCCAATAACAATGTCTCCCCCCAAACCATCCCATTCCCGAATTTCTGCTCTCTGTCTCGCGGCTGCGAGTACATCTTGTGTATCCTCCTCCAATGGCTCCGTAGAATCCTCACCCTTTCTCTTCCTCAATCTCCGTATTCGTTCCGCCAATCCAGCCCTTACATCACCTTCCCTTCTCCCCTCCACCGCATCCCAATCCAGTGCCGCAGCAACCAGTATAGGTTGAACATATTCCTGAAAGTGCTCACGCGCCTGCACTATACTATCGCCTGGTGGTGCCGCAATGTACATGGTAAGCTTTCGGGGCATTTGTTTCGGATCCAGTGTTTCCTGTGCAATGTATTCGACGACCTTTGCCCACTTGCGTTGTATGCGCTTCTTTTGGCGGCGGTCGTAGTAAACGGCGGCGCTCCATGAGCCAGTAATCGTGAGAAATATTGACCAGTTGCGCGAAGGAAGTTTGAAGCGGAAGTTTGGCAACCCTAATTTTGTATATAGTTAGCTATCGCGGTGCATAGCATGAAATGAGTAAAGATGCACACCCATCATTCTCCATACTGGATTTGGAGGTTTGGGCGCTTTCACACGGTTTGATCCGGCGCCTCCACTGGCCTGGGATGCTTTCGCATCCGGGTCAGCCATAGTAGGAGTAGCCTTGAAGGAGTGTTGTGCAGGTTGTTCTGCGGCCAAATTTTTGATGGATGGACGGAATTGCTTCGGGACAGGGAAGACAGACTGCTCCGTATCGCTCGGTAGTCAGTAACCAAGCTAAGGCCTAAAAGACGGCCTGACTGGCTACAGTGAAGTTTTTCTGTAAGGTCAAAGCTCAAAGCGGGGCAATTGCCACAGCGTCTGTCACCGATCTGAAAAGGAAGAGATTGGTATGAAGGCTTTGTTGTAGTATATAGTTATTCTAATTTCTCGAATATTCATAATCAAGCAACACAGCAAAGCCGTGATAGTGTAGCGGTATCACAGTGCCTTGTGGATTCGAGTCAATCGGTTCAATACGGCACTAACCTGGGTTCGACTCCCAGTCGCGGCATCATATGATGTGCAGCATTGCATTCGCTTCTTTTTTGTTTTTATTTTTGCAGGACAGTGGACCATAGGAGCTAGTTGCGAAGCGAGCAACATCAAACTTCCAGTTGAACTCAGCAAGACGTGAGCTCCCGCTGCAGTGCTTGCACATCTTGCAGGTGAGTATTTCGACCGAGGACAATGCACGCTTCTGAAGCTAGCTAGCTACCACTCTTTTTTTCCCATCTTTTCTATGACCTGGCTTGTTCTTGTTCCTGACTTCGTTTGTGTCTGTACTTACATTTCCCGCTGATTATATACGCGAACCGTCGACTACATACCAAGTCTTCCGAGAGACAAAAACAACGAATGCGACTGCTGGATTGCATGACGCTCAAGGTTGAGGATCCACGCAGCAAAAAGCTATTTTCTTACGCAATTATTTCGCATAGATGGACCGAGGGATGCAACAAGGAGCCGACACTGGCGCACATGGGAGAGGGAACTACTCCAGGCTCTGAAGGTTATGCGGAAATCTAATCGACTGTTGATCAAGCTCTAAAAAATGGTGCTCTTGTGTTTGGGTGGAAACCATCTGCATCTATAAAACCAACCATGTTGAATTCTTAAGGACCATTAATTCCACGTAGGTGAACGGTTTAAGAGAAATTGGTCCCTCGAGGTACTTCTTGCCCGGTCGAAACTTGTCTTTTATCTCAGCTAATTAATTACTGGGACTGCCTCGGTTCGAAAATGGACAAGTCTTTTAGATCACATGTTGAGCAAGGCGACTGGCATTTGGACAAGAAAGGTATTCTAGGATTCCTCCTCTGTTCCACCGTCCCTGGCCTTAGTCTTGTTTTTGTTACGAACCTCTGTTCGCTCTTCTCGCTCTATTATTATTCCAGTACTCAGCAACTAAATGGCGTTTTAAGATGCAACCCCAATCATTCCCCAACCAGATTAGAATTGAAATAAAACCAAAGGAGTTTATTATATTTGAACTACACTTGTTCTATATCGATCAAATATCTGATTACAGAAAATTCATGTATCTGACATTGTACTCTTTCAGCACGGGGTCCAAATTTATCAAGTCCAAATTGTTGAGCGATAGGTTGTGCTGTCCATCCATCCATGCCGGACTGGTCTAACCGAGATACCAAGAGTTGACAGAGTTCCTCTTGTCCTTCATAGATGGTCCAGTCCAGAATCTCCGCGATTTCGACTGCACTCTAATTAAATTTCGCAAGCACAAGAGCAGTAGCCTTGATATCATACGAGCCAACTCCCCAAGTTTATCTCTTACTCATGCCTTCAAAGACCAATCCATTTGCTGTCTTGCCCAGGTCGTTGTTGCATCGACCTTGAAGCAAAGTTCTCTGTTTGGATGGCGTTCTTGACATCTTGTTCCGGGCAATTTAATATGAGGACCCGTATATCTGAGTTTGAATTTGCTAAAAGTCTGAGTGCTTCAAGAAACCCATCATTCCTGTCTGTGTGTTTATCCAGAGTACTGACAACAATGGACACCATGTTCCTCCAGATGTGCTTGAGACTTGCAGGTCGATAGCGAATTAGTCTTCTGAATGGATCAGAAAGACCGAGAGGTAGCACAGAGTTGATTGAATTGAGGGGCAGAAGTTCAGATGGATTTTCCTTTGCTGAGAGTTCTTAATGAATTGTTCTATGTGTGCAACGGATGTTTCCAGAAATGTAAGAGGTGACGTGATGTGGCTCGAGGGCCGAAAGGAACTGAGTAAGCCGGATCGGGCTTTCTTTCCTCCCCCGCGTCACTTTTTGGCTACAGCTCTTACACGACACCATCTCCATCATTGCCCGCCACTCACCATCAATTCCCATAATGGCGTCGCAAATCCGCCTGACAGCCTCCACGGCTTCGGGATTCATCCGATGCTCGAGACCCCAGCTCACATCACGAACACCCCACCTCGCCGCCCTCACCAACGCCTCCACCCGCGCCTTCTCACAGTCCAACAGCCTCTCGTCACAAAACTCGATATTCGGAAATTTCGGCCAGCAGAACTCACAGGGTGGAGCTCAGACGTACTTTCAGACGCAGAGGCGGCCACCAGCGAATACTATCATCCGATTCGTACCGCAACAGACAGCATGGATCGTCGAGCGCATGGGCAAGTTCAATCGGATACTAGAGCCTGGGCTTGCTATCTTGGTACCATTTTTGGACAGAATAGCGTACGTGAAGAGCTTGAAGGAAGCTGCACTGGAGATCCCCAGCCAGAGTGCCATCACCGCCGACAATGTTACACTGGAACTAGACGGTGTGCTTTACACAAGGGTGTTTGACGCGTACAAGGCAAGGTAGGATACGCCAATGGACTTGGAAAACGATGTTATGCTTACATGCCGGCAGTTACGGTGTCGAAGATGCAGAATACGCCATTTCTCAACTCGCCCAAACCACGATGCGATCCGAAATCGGCCAGCTTTCCCTTGACCACGTCCTGAAAGAGCGCGCAAATCTGAATGCCAACATCACTGCCGCCATCAATGAGGCAGCCCAAGATTGGGGTGTGACGTGTTTGCGTTACGAGATTCGTGATATCCACGCCCCCGAGCCGGTGGTTGAAGCCATGCACCGCCAAGTCACAGCCGAGCGATCGAAGCGTGCGGAGATTCTGGAATCAGAGGGCCAGAGGCAGAGCGCCATCAACATTGCGGAAGGAAAAAAACAGTCCGTCATCCTTGCTTCCGAGGCGTTGCGCGCCGAAGCAATCAACATGGCGAGCGGAGAAGCTGAAGCCATTATCGTGAAGGCTCAGGCTACCGCCAGTGGCATCGATGCAGTGTCACGTGCCATCACCCAAGGCAAGGGCTCGGCGCAGAGTGCCATCTCGCTCTCCATTGCTGACAAATACGTGGACGCATTTGCGAACCTGGCGAAAGAGGGTACCAGCGTTATCGTACCGGGAAACGTCGGTGACATTGGCAGCATGATTGCCAGCGCCATGGCTGTGTACGGGAACGTAAACAAGGCACAGGCCAAGAGTGCCGAGGGCAAGATAGACAGCAACGAAAACACTCCCGCGGGAACAAGGGTGGCTGATGTTGAAAATCCGCTCGCTGAGATTGAGGGTGGAACGGGCGATGTGCAGAACGCGATACACAAAGCCATGGACGAGCGATTGAAGAAGAGATAGAGCGGATAGGTTGGACGGATTCACGACTATAGCGTTAGCACGAGGAGCAAGGAGAAAGGAGCATGGAGTCTCTTGTAAAAAAGAACAGAGGACATTTGTATCATTAGGGTCGGGATAAGCCACTTGAGCAAGCCATTAGTTAGCCTTGGATGCATGTGGGTTAATTGGGAAATACCCGAAAGCATAGCGTAAATTCCTACTGTATGTAGTAGATAGGAGCCTCCTCTCGATTCTTTGAATTCCACTTTTGTGTATCAATACAAATACAAATCCATCATAGTCAAAGGCTGTGTCTACCAAGGCCATGGCAACAGATTGATTGATGCCTTGTGTCCAGGAAACTCTATACCCTAGTATTGAGAGGGAGAGGGAGAGGGAGAGGAAGATGGAACTCTTTACCTCGTGGCTCACGTTCGCTTCAGAGCTCCCGACTGTCATCAAGCACTGCCAAACAACTGCCCGACGGCTTCTCCGATCAATGTCGCTATCTGTCGCCCGTCCTGCCAGACTTGATCATGGCCATCGGTCAGATCTTTAGCCTCAACCACCCTCTCATATCCCTGTCCCCTCTCTCCCCAACCGCACGCCTTCAATCGCGCCAGCATAACCTCTCTCTGCTGGCCCTCGATCAGCTCGTCCTGCAGGCTCCACGCCAAGACTATGCTCTTCAGGCCGGGACAAATCTCGGGCGTATACACGCCCGAGCATGGGGAAACCAAAGTATACAGATCCTCACCGGCATGCCCAAGATTGGGACCAAACGCACCCTCGACGAACTCGCGATAGATGTGCGATATGTGTTCCGGACACGCGGGCGGTGTGTGGTTCTCCAGCAGTCTGGGAAGGGAATATATGCCCGCTATGAGGATCAATGCCGTAGGGCCCTGGTCGACTGTGCTTCCCACCACCACCTCCTCCTCCTCTTCCTCGGCTCCAGTACTCGTATTACTATCATCATTACCATTGATAGTATTATCAGATCCCAAGCCCGACACGAGCTGAGCCAACAACGTAGCACCACACGAGTGGCCCACGCCAATCCACCCATGTCTCCTACCCAGGCCATAGAATTTAGCCAGGAACCGCACCGCGCGCCGCACGTCGTGCACGTGGTCTGGCCATTTCGCATTCCGGCTCGAGTCGTCGGGCGAACTGGGGTCCGTCGCGTGGTTGGCGTACGGCGACAGGCGGTAGTCGAGACTGGCGATGCCGGCGATGTGCGACAGCGCTGGGTGCGAGGCACGATGGGGCGTCGTCGAGTATGTCGATGAGGGGGAGAGGTGCGCCAGCGTGGGGAGGATGCAGGCTGCGTCTTGGGTTGGGTCGCGCCATGCGCCGCCGTGGATATATCTGTAATTACGTCGAATGTTAGTTGGTTGGTTCGTTGAGTACTTTCTCGTCGTCGTCGTCGTCGTCGTCGTCGTCGTAGCGCAATCTCGCGTATAGAATTGCAGTAAAAGGGTGGGTGGATGGGTGGGAATTGAGAACGTACAAGATGAAGACTGTGGTAGCGGGGTCCGACTCGGAAAGAGGGCGCGGAAGCCAGAGATCGAGTGTTTGCAGACGCGTTGCGGGGTCAGTGTAAGGTATCTGTGGCATGTACTGCGGATACGACTGTGGCGAGATTGAGCCCGAGTCGGAGCCCGAGTCCGAATCCGACATGATGGAATCTTCCATGTTTGTGTCCTCCATGTCTGGTTATTGTTGTTGTTGTTGTTCTTGTTGTTCCGCCACGTGTGTTTTGTTTGGTGTTCCCCCGGTTGCGCAGGGAAAATTATTATTATTTCCTGCCGTGTAACGGAACCCTCAAGCGGATCCATGTCATGTTAACCGGGCCGTCTAA